CGTTGGAGGAGGGGTGCACCCCATGCTTCGCTCCTGACTCCTGGCGGCTACTGGCCACCTTTGGCCTGCCCTGGCTGGATTCAGAAGCCGGGCTCATGGGGCAGGAGAGCCTATGGAGTGACTGATAATGGGGACATGGATTTCGCCCTGTCCCTGGTTTCTGCTGCCACCTTCACGCCTCCCCACATGTCTCTGTCTTCTCCTTTTTCTCTAAGGGCACGTGTCATTGAATTTAGGGCCCACCGCCAATCCAGGAGGAGCTCATCTTGAGATCCTTAACAAAACCCCATCTGCAAAGACCCTTTTTCCAAGGGTTCCATTCACAGGGACCAGGGTTGGGAGTCAGACATGTCCTTTTGGGCGACACTATTCTACCCACCACAGCGACCTTGGGCTCTTAGCATTAGCTTCCTGTTCGTAAAAGGGGCTCATGATACCTGCTCTAAAAGGATCGCTGTAAATATCAGAGAAAATAGAGGATTCAGAAGCCGGGCTCGTGGGGCAGGAGAGCCTATGGAGTGACTGATAATGGGGACATGGGTTTTTTTGGGGGGTGGTGATGAAATTGTTCTAGAGTAAGTGGCGATGTTTGCATACCTCATTGAATGTACTAAAAATTGAATTGCCTGCTTAAAGAGTGAACTTAATGGTATGTTGAATCATTTCTCGATAAACTGTTCTTTGTAAAAAGGAGCCTGGCTCAGGGGGGTGGTGTCTTCATAAATCCTAGCTGCTATTATTATTATTGATGTGCCACTCACAACTACTATTAAAATCTTTTATAATAGTCTAACATTTTACCTCTTTTGTCATATGCCTCCCAAACCCCGATATGATTACATTTGAAACGGGAACCATGGGTGAGATGTCTTTGTGGGTTCTACCAGAGCCTGCCTAGGGCTTCACACGTAGTAGGGGACAATGCAAATTTGTCTTGATCATACATGAGTAGTTCCCATGGAAATTACTTGTTGAGAGTAAGCCCTCCAGTGCTTGCGTGTTCACTAATCGCCGTGATCACCGTATCCAGCGTAGGTGAGGTGAGATATTGCTTTTACACATGGGCTCCCCCAGGAAAGAGCTGAAATTAAATTTCATGCCAACCGCATTTCTAACTTATGATTGGCAGCCTGATACCTAGACCAAAAGTCCTTTTTCCAAGAAAATTCAATTAGCAATTCAACATGGAGCTAGTCTGGATAATTCATATATTCTAATCATTACCTTATTACAGGTAGTCAAAATCCATGCCACTCTCCTGCTTGCCTGGGAGTAGTAAGAACAATCGTAATAAGAACAACAGCATTAAGCTGTGTTATTGCCTGATGCACCGTTGCTTTGGAGATTAAAAACTGAATTTTGAGAAAAACAAAAACTTATCTCGAGGAAATACAGGCCTCCTGAGTTTTCACCTTGAAAGCTAACGAAGTCAATTTAAAATTTTAATAGATTCCTCTAAGTTTCTATTGAAGGAAAAACAACAAGATTTTAAAATTTAAAGTAAGGCTGCCTATTTTCTCTGGCTTTTTTTCTCCTCCATCATGCTCATCTTTGTCCAGGGCCCCAGCCCACTCTCAAAAGAGCCCTAGAGGGAGACAGGAAAGCAGAAGGGTTGAAAGGTACAGGGCTTGGGCACACAGGTCCCAGGACTGCCTCCAGCTGCCCAAGTGTCTTTGATGGTGGGGGTAATCGCCAGAGCTACAATGATGTGCAGGTCCACTCGGTGATAAATGCAAGGAGCACAGCCCGGGCAGAGCACCATCAGGGGTGGCCCTCATCACGCCCAACCCCCCCTTTCTCTTCTGCTTCCTCCTTTCACTACACTCAATTCACTGCCCGCCATGATGGCCGGTCCAGTATCCTCCAATATCCTCCCAATCCTCTTACTCTCCCCCTAGAAAAGGTACCGGGGGTCTTCATTTTTCTGCCCCACTCTGGCAAGGGGAAAGAACCACAACCTCAAAGTCTGCTGGATTTAAATTCCATATTCCGGGATACTTCCAACTCCAAAGTTTACAACTAAATATCTTTAACATTCAACTTAAATCACACTCGCTTATCTAGCTTGGGGCCAGCAAGGGCTGTGAGAACATCAAAATTTTACATCTCAGAAACCCTGAATCCTTGAATTTTGTGTCCACTGTTGTTTCCAGCAATTTCTAGGGCTAAATGATTAATTATACCCACGACAGTCCAAAGCAATTATTTAATTAAGCTGTATTACAGGCTGCCAATTGTTTAGAGCAAAGGGAAAGCCTTCACCCCAGTTTCTCAATATCTGGCCTTTGGATGACTTAAAAGATAAAAGGAGATATGAGAACATTTTTCTGACTAAGTAACAATTTCTAAAAATTTTCCATCAAGTAGAAAAACTTTTTCAGTAATTTGTTTCTCATGATTAGAACTTGGTGACATGTTTTACTGTGAGTGTCCAGCTTACTTAACTCTAACGCAAAATAGAAAATGTTGCAGTTATCAAATGAAATGTTGGTATCATCTTTGTTTTAGGGCAGGAAAGTCAGTTTTTTAGGAAATCCGTATTTTCCCTTCAAGTGTGTTTGTCTTCCGCATTCCCTTGGCCTATCATTTTTAAGTACTCTTTCTTAATTTAGGCTATTTAAAATCAACTTTAAGAAACAAAAATCCCATTACCCATTCCACACTTAGAAATCTAAGTTTTGTTTCGTAAAGAACTTTTTCAGAAGAGAGATAAAGCCACCCCGACAGAATTGATGGCCGAAGTCATGTCTGTACAATCTACTGGAGACACACAAAGACATGAGTTGGGGCACAGGCATCCCAGGCATGATCTTTCTCTTTTCCTTAGTCTGTAACTTCATTACATAGGACTGGTGGAGTAACCCAGTTGAATAGCAATGAATTGAGTAGTGAGTGTTTGTTCACCAGTTGTGTTCAAAATACATATTTGACTCATTCAAACCTCTTCCTTCCATACTGTTTGAGTATTGAAATTCCATCATTCTGTTAAAATCTAAGAGTGACTAAATATTCACCCATAAATGGGCCATCAATAAGCATAGGATGGTGCTTGCTTCTGCAGCACATACGCTACATTTGGAACGATAAGCATAGCACAAGTGAATGACTGAAATAAGCAATAATGAATGACAAAAGAACATTTCACAAGGTCCCTCTTTTGGAAAAAGGCTCAGATTTTCTGAAGAAAACCAATGGAGCAACCCCCTTTTTCAGCTGTTTCTTAAGGATGAAGGCATACTCAAATTCTTGGGTTGAGGCAATATAAATTATGTGTTAGAACTACTGCCCTAAAAAAAAAAAAAAGAACTACTGCCCTAAAACTGGAGCTCATGGACCTCATCCATAGTCCTGAATCTTCTGACGTTATCTGCAAAATACTGCAGATATACATACATGTGAATTTTTCAGAGGAGGGTATAAAAGCATTCATGTCTCAAAAAAGGTTAAGGTTCACTATGTTCAACATGTCTGTTTACAGTGCAATAAATCTCACACGAAAATGTGATGCATTTCTCTAGTGGAGAGATTGTGGTTGCCTTGCTAAAGAATGGAAGTCACTAGAAGCTTCCATCATTGTGTGGGAAGTCTTAAAGCTGCCAGCTTCCTATTACTCAAATTGCCGTTTCTCCAAAGAAAATCCTTCTTTCAATATCAAGAAGAGCCTTTTAAATTAAAGTACTTTCCTGTCCCACACTGGAAAAGAGAAACAAAAACCATCATGTAGGCCAATGTTCCCTATCACTTGAAGGAAGCTGACACCCCTAGGTTAGTGCGGCTCATTTCTGGGAAGCAGAACCGGGCCTGTCCTGCACCAGAAGGTCAGACATGCACTGTGGTCCGTGGCCTGAGGCCACTGTCTGTCTCTGCAAGGTGGAATGTTTAGCAAATTTGTCTGTTTTTTAAAAGAATTTATACTTTTATTCCCAAATTTAAAGTTACTTCAAAGGTTTCTTTCTTTCTTATTGTCATTCCCAGAAGTATATTTATCATATTACTGCTCTATTTCATATCAGGGAGTCATCAATGGCCAGTATGTGGGCAGATGTGTTATCAAAGCACAAGACCTTCCTGAAATTGTCAGGAATTTGGAATTTGGAGTAACATGTTAACAGAAGCCTAGTCCATGGACCTGCCCTCGTTAATAACAAAGAGGACAACTACCATTTAAGCACTGATTTATGGCCTCCACAGGGCTAAAAGTTTTAACTGCATGACATAGCAGCCCTGAAAACTAGGCATTATTACCTCATTTTCCAGGTAAGGAAACCAAGGTTCAAAGAGGTCAAGGCCACACAGCTGGAACTTACACCAGACTGCCAGACTCTGAAGGCCACCTCGCCAGCCTCAGGGCTGGGATGTCTCCCAGTGGTCTTGGCTCCTATGAGGAGTGATCCACCTTTAACCAAGTTAGAGCGGGGGGCAGAGCTCAGCCTTCAAGAAGCCATTCTAATGCTTTGTGCATCTACATTGCTTCCTTTATTCACAGCTCCCATAAATAAGTATAAGTTTATACTCAACCTGATATCAGAATCCTTTCAAATATTTAGGAAACATAGTTGATCAGGCTGAATAATTCACAAGCAAGAATTTTCCTTTAAAGAAAAAGATTTCCTTTCTGAATCACATCTGCTAATCCAGATAGAATTACTTTCTAAGCAGATGAAACATCTCTCAACTCTTTTTCCCAGAAATATATCTTAGAGAAGTAAAAAAATTATAAATCAAAATTAAAAAAAAAAAAAACATAGAGGCCAAACACAGTCTATTCTTTACCGTAAAATATTTGAGACAAAACATTTCCCAAACTTGTTTTCAAAACATTTGCAAGATGAATCCATGCAAACATATGGCTCAGAAATGTCCTTCCCAATTAAAACCTGAGAATATAAATAAATTGGCTTTTCTCCTTGTATTTCTTCTCTCGTTAAGAACAGAGCCTTGGCCATAAACAAGAAACTACCCTTAAGATTATATATTTTTTCTTATTTCTTTTTCAACAGGGGACTTATTACATTTGAAAATAACACCTATATCTTGGAACCAATGAAAAATGAAACGAACACATACAAGCTCTTCCTGGTGGAGAACCTGAAGGGCACCTGGGGATCCTGTGGATCACAGCACAGCACGTCTGCGCTCGCTGCAGAGAACAGGCTCCGGCCACCCTCCCAGACGTGGGCAAGAAGGGTAGGGGGGAGATCAAGGTCACGAATCTGGGGAGTGGGGACTCTAGCTAGGGGCACCCAGGGCTAGTGCATCTGGAGAAATTTTGCCATCTGGTTGTTGTGTCTGGGGTTGGAGTCCCCCGGTTTATCGAGTGGTTGCTACCATGTATGCAGAGCATCACCAAATACTGAAACCTCCATCATTGTTTGGCAAATGTCGGCCTCAGACTCGTTAACCTACGCTGGGTAAAGTCTGGCTCAGAGGCCAGAAAATTACCATTCATTACGTCACCAGTGAGAAGCTACTGTGGGCCTAGACCCAGGGTTGCATCCCACCATTGCACCCATGATGATGAATAAGACGAGAATGGATCCTCACCTGCCTTTGGGCAGCTCTCCTTCCTCAGGAGGAGAGAGACAATATGGAGCCTTCTTCATTGGCAAGTCTGTTTTACAGTTAGGGTTTTTGTTCTGATTTGCATAGCATCCCCAGTCTTTGCCTGCGTGCCTGTGCGCGGTGAACAGAATGTTGGCCATGCAGTGTGGCTACGGAGTGTTGCTTACCCCAGTCCATGCTGCCCATGCCTGTCCTTCCTTCCTTCCCAAGATGGTCCAAGCACTCCTGTGTTTTCTGGCCACCTGCTCCTGGCTCTGCTCATCAAAGGTCCCTCCTTCTGCTTCAGAAGTGGGAAGAGTCATTACCTGATGGTGTCTGGGCCACAGATCTCCTTCCCTGCTAAGCAGGCAGAAACACAGGGACTCCAATACCCTCTGGTGCAATATCATGAAACCTCCACCCCAAATGGCTGCGTGACCCTTTTATGTCCAGTATTATGTGGGCACCACAGGCCGCAGCAGAACACTCTTTTGGTTTTTTTAATGATTTTATTTATTTGAGAGAGAAAGTGGGTGAGAGAGAGAGAGAGAGAGAGAGCGCGCATGAGTGGGGGGAGGGGCAGAGGGAGCAAAAGCAGCAGGCTCCCCGCTGAGCAGGGAGCCCGAGGTGGGGCTCGATCCCAGGACCCTGGGATCATGACCTGAGCCGAAGGCAGACGCTTAACCACTGAGCCACCCAGATGCCCTGCAGCAGAACACTCTTAAATAAAAGAAGTAAGGGTAGCCACATTTGGCTGGGGGCCCTAACTTTCAGTGAGTACAACCAGATAGGAAATTCCCAACAATTTCCTGATTTTTATCTCTGGCTTTCCTGTTCCTCTGTTGACAAGAAATCAGGATTTCATAGATACGATGTCAGTTGTGCTAACATTGGGTGGTCTAGGGACGTGTTCTTCAAGGTTGCACTTAAAAGACAGCACATTTTCTCTTTCCTGACTTGGAGTGTTCCACTGCTTAACATTCAACATTGCATATATATTATTCCTCTTTGTTCATTCCTCATCATTTTTATTCTGAGTTCAAACAGGACATGTGGTCGTAAATGATTTCTTCTCATTTGTAAAATTTCCCTCACACATGTGAATTGTGTTCCCCTAACCTTCGTTTTCATTTCGTTCATTCTTCCTGATCTGGTGTTCTGCCCGTGTGACCCTATTGTCCTCTATTTCTTATTATGCTCACAAGATTTTCTATGGCAGGGGCTTGCCACCTCTTTGCCCTTTCTTCCCTATCACACAGAAGAGGAAGAACCCCCGTCTGGGACGGTGACCCACCTTGACACTGATACTCAGGATTGGAGACCCAGGGAGCAGAGCTTGAAAAATCCGCCCCCCCCCCCCCCCCACAATGAACAGTAGCTCAAAAGAATTTCCATCCTGCCTTTCACCCCCCTCCCACCCATTTTAGAGTGACAGATTGAAGAGTTGGAATCACAAAGACCCGCCTCTGTGGTCCCTGGGCATGTTTATTTTACTCTTCAAACACTCTCTTGCCTCCGATTCCGGACCTCTGAGAAGAAGTGATTAAGCTGTAGCTTTTCCAGTCATAAACAAGGAAAACATTTGCATTTTGTTTTCAAGGCGCTTTGCTTTGAGCACCTTGTTGAATACACGTTACCCATGTTGTGAGATTTATAATGTGACAGTTTAAATGACATCTGAATACGTTTGCCATTTCATGTAGAAGTATGGGCTCGGTCTCTACTTGCCAGCCATATTTTAGTTCTTTAAGCTTCTGGCTTTCTAGAACTGTGCTTGGCACCGTAATTTCCAGTCATTCTGACTGGTAGAGGAGAGCGCAAAATGTGAATAACAATGTTGTTTTGTTAATAATGCATATTGGGGTGCAAATGAACCTTTAAAAAAGGGAAGGCAACAGCTCTGCCCTCAACATTTTTCTCTAGAAATAGTTGTGATTGTTTTACTGGAAGAAAAAATATGACATAAAGTACATCTACATAATGAAAACTATATGAAACGTAATTTTCGAGTTCGGGGACGACTAGGGGATTGGAACTGGAGACCACGTGGTTTGGGATAGCGTCTCCGGTGAACGTGAAAGAGACACGTTCACGTTATGTGCAGCTTACCTGCTCACTCCCACCGCCTGATTTTATACTCAAAAAAAAAAAAAATCAGTGGAACTGCAGCTAGCTCCTCTTGTTTATGCAACAAGGCGGCCATACCCGCTTCCGCGAGCATCTTCTGCCCCCGCTAAATGTTAACTGGTGCAAAGACTGGTTTGCAGGCTGAGATTTTTCTGCAGATATTTGCGTTTCCCTTCCCAGAGCAGCAGGAATAAATCAGCACTCAGGGTATGCACGGGCAATAATACAAGCTGGAGCTATTGTTTGCCGTTTTTACAAGGCTCTACGTTAGATTTTAGTGAGAACCCAAGTCGCTCTGGAGGGGCGCCTGCAGTCACATGGCCTTGTAGTCCAATCCAACCTCTGCAGGTTCCCTGAGTCCGGCTTGCAGAGCCCCAGCCGCTCCGCTGCCCTGCGTCTCGCCACGCTCCTTCCCTCTCCACCAAGGAGCCGGGCGAGAACGCAGACTAGTTCTAACGCTGGCCTGAGCCAGCTGTAGGCAAAGGCTTGGGAACTCTGCCATGGGAGAAAGATCCCATAATGCATCCCAAAGGCAAATGTGAATTATGTTTGCGTCATCCTTCCTCTGGGGATCATCTGTGCTATATCGCTCCCCTCCGTTAGTGCAGGTGATTATGAGTCCAACGTAGAAGGCAGTACTTCCTGTAGGAAGCCGTGTTGGCTCAGGCTGCTGAGCCGGTCAGGGGGACACCGTTGTGTGTCCTCAAACGTAGCCGTTCTGAAATGGGCCCGTCTACGGCTTTTGATTTCTAGGCAGCCCCTCCTGTTTGGTAGGAGACACGTAATGGTGGCGCAGAGCCTGAGCGCTGAACATCGGGAACTGGCCACAGCCATGTGACCCCGCTAATTACAGCAGGCCTACCCAACGCCTCTCTGACATAATCATCTGCCGTCCACACCGCCTCTGAGAGACCGTATCAACCGCTCTCGCTGCCTTGGTTGCTCCTTCCTAGATCTTGCTGGTAGACAACAGAGGCAGAGTGATGGCCTCTTTGGCCCTGAGCTCTGAGGCTCCAGAATCTCCAGGTGTGGATTCCTATTGAGACTTAAGTCCAGTAAAACTCTGGATAAATAAATAGATCTCCCTGGTGCCATTGGCTTTGTGGACTCAACTTCAGTATTTCGCATTTGTCCCTATTAACGTTCAGTCCGTCAGACGGAGCCCCTTCCTCCAGCTAACCGTCTCTCTTTCGGGCTGCTTTTGCTGCCCGAGCATCAGCCGGGCCCCAGGGGCTGCATCGCACACAGGTGTGATCAGTGTGCTTCACACCCCCGCACAAGCCAGTGTCAGGATGGTGGAGAAGACCTGGCAGAGTAGGGACCCGGGGCTCAGCTCATAAATATTCATAAAGTGGCCTCAGAGTCCAGGCACCGAGCCTCTCGTGAGCAAACAACGACCCTTTTTTACTCAGGGGAAGATCAAACCAAACTTTGGATTTATTTAATTTGCTGATCTTGCCACCCACGGAAACGTGGGCCCTGGCTTCATTGATATTGATCTTTTGTTGATGGTTGCATCACACCCAACTGGAACCCCTTTGCCCATCTCCATGGTTCCTGTCCCAAACTGTCACCAGCAATCACCTGCACTCCTGGCTTCTGCTACTATCTTCCCATAATCCATTCTACCAGCAGCCAGAGTGCTATTTTTAAAACCTCCTGTGCAGGGGCTCCCTGGTGCTCTCAGGTCACTAGATGATCCTTCAGCCTCCTTGCCCCATCCAAGGCTCATCCACACTCCTTCCTCCCGCTCTAGACCATGTAGCCACCCTGCCTGTTGCCATGACTCTCCACGTGCTCCCAGCCTCAGAACTTCTGCTGTGGCTATTCCATCTATCTGAACACTGTTCCCCGCACACATACCTACTTCTCATCCTCAGTTCGCAGCTGTCGTCGTCACACGCCCCCATCTTTATCCTCCTTGCAGAACACTGTTTAGGTCTATTGTTTTGCCCCTTTTACAGGCTAGGATTTTTTTCGTTGATTCTTTATTGTCACCCTGTCTCCTAACCCCTCCCAGAATTCGAGCCTCATGAGCCTGGGACCTTGGGTTTCTTGTCCATCCCTCTATCCCCAGCACTCGACCTAGTGCCAAGTCACAGAGAGAGTGACAGTAGATATTTGTGGGGTGAGTAAATGATAGACACATAGTCTGGCCCAGATGAGGGAGGAGGTATGATAAGCGTTTATTGAAACCTTCATCTTAACTTGCTTTTCTGACTTGAGTTGGGTTGGGTTAAGTCCCCCGTGCCAGAGTTCTTGTTACAGCATGTCAGGGGATATTCTGTCTCTGGGAACTTGGCTGTGATGACTTCGAGAGGCCCAGGAACTGGTTCCCTCTTGAGCAAGACTCAGAGAACGCCTCGGTCTCCACCTTGGAACGGAGACTCTGTTGGGCCATTCTCAGAGGCTAATGTTCCTATCTGTTTGGGGAAGGGCTTTTGTTTATAACCCCAAAAATGAAAATTCAATCAAGCCACCAGTTTCAAATGTTGCTCTTCATATCAAAAATTTTAAATATATATATATTTTTTAACCGGACAGCCCAGATAGGTCGAAGTCATGTGGAGGTAATTTAAGCCTCTCTGTGTGCCGCTGATGGAAGAATGAATGTTCGCGGCCATGAGCCGGCCCCTCCCCCATGGCTTTTTATTATTATGTGGTTAGGCTTCTCTCTGAGCTTGCATTTCTCTGAATTCATGAGAAAATTTGGACTTCTCTGAAAACTGCAGAGACAGGAAAATTGTGTTCATCTGTTTGTTTTCATTATCTGGAATTGTGTATTTTCTAACTGATGATCCAAGGCCACTGGGAAAAATCCCCTGGTCATTTATTTCACCCTTCGTGGTCTGAAAGGTGTAAACGTCTAAACAACCAAGGCCCTTTCTGCGGGTTTTTCAAGGGAAGATTAATTAGGTTTTTTTCTGTCACAGAGCTGTATGCTCTTTAGTATGATTAGCTGAATCTGTTCGTGGTTAATCGGGAAGTTGTGGGGCGGGGGACAAAGAGAGACATCTGCTTCTTTCACACCTCGTGAAGGAAAAGGGGCAAGATCTTCACCCCTCCAAAGGTGGCTCGTTCTGGGGACACCAGTGGGTACCACTGGGGTTCATCTTTTTTCCCTTATGAGTACATAGTTATCACCAGGAAGCACGCCTGGAGCATGTAGTCACCAACCTTGACTTTTTTTTTTTCTCGTAACATTGTAAAAGTATGAGAAATTATACCTTTCCTGGTGCTTTATTTTTCCCTTCTCCATAAGGTTTCCAGATTTCTTGAGGGATCCCTAAATTCATGAATCAGCACAGCTGGGCGGCGAGCAGGAACACTGCTATGATACAAACATTTTTCTTGTAAAAATCTGTTTGGAAGATCCCGGACTGATGGGGATTTGTCTTATAAAAGATGTTTCCCTCAGGATTATGTCACTGGAAAGCTGATTCAAAGCATGCCTCGGTCATTTTTGCTTTTGTCTGAAAGTGTGGTTAGGGCATGAGAGTTTTATACGGGGAGCAGTGTCCCTAACGCAAAAACCAGCCCATCGGCTGCAAGGACCAAGCCCACCTCAGCCCCCGTTTGCTCCAACGGCGTTTTATTGCAGAAACAGAAGGCTTTGTTTTTTGTTTTTAATGTTTGCTTTTTGAGACCACCCTCCATGAATTGCTCTTTTTCTCCTAAAAATGCCTTTGGGATTCTCCCAGTAATTCATGGAAGAGTGCAAATGTTTTTTGAGGAAACCTGATTAAAATGTAACCCACTTCAGAGGCTGCCTTTATTTCAGAGTGAGTTCTGCATCTTCTCCGTCCCTACCCCTTGATGTACAGTTTCCTTATTCCTCAACTATTTCACTCCCCCCCCTCCATCCCCCTGCTCCGTGGCATTATAGTTCAGTCTTTTTATTTTTTCTTAACACTGTTTCTTTCTATTCTGTCTCTTTTGTTTCTTTCTGGTTTTCTCCTAGCACCTCCTCCTCGCCTGACTCTGTTCCGTTTATCAGCTTGGCTGTTCCCTGTTCTCCAGACCACTATTGTCCTTTGCTTCTAACTAGATTTTTCAGCCACAAGAAATAAGCCACCTAAAGAGGACTATTTAGTGTTTCCCCAGAAGGATCATGCAGTCCCACCTCAAAATATATTCTCTTTCACTTTTCTCTTATCCCAACACTCGACCGTGAAGGGGAAAGCAACACACATAAGACACTGAATTCCATCATCTTCTGTAGGGATCTTCCTCTGTGCTGCATGCAGCCCAAAACGAACGGCCATCAGCCTGCTCCTGTTCCAGACAGTGCTTTGGTTTTGCTTGTGTATGTGCATGTTTCATTTAATAATGATCTTGACTCGTTCTGATCCCACGGTCGGTAATTCAGCAGGCAGGATTCCTTTTTAAGGATTTCCCATATGGAAAGGGAAACCGGTCACCCGTGTGGAGAAGGTTTGACAGAGGTCATTGGGGTTGGAAGTGAACTTCTAGAGGGAACAGAGGTGGGGCTGCTGGTGGTGGTGGTGAGGATAGTTTCCCCTTAGGCAAAGTGCTTGGGTTCAGAGATACAGACAGTCTTCTGGAAGCCCTGGAGAGGTGTGAAAAGAAATTAAATCCATGTTTACTTTTGGCAGCATAAAAGAGAGACCCTCAAGATGACCAAGTACGTAGAGCTGGTTATCGTAGCAGACAACCGGGAGGTAAGAACTTTTTCAAACTTCTCGGTACAGTTGGTTTAAAAAAAAAAAAATACGGGAAAGAAAATATTTAGCAAGTTATTACTTGCTCTGATTAACTTCATTTTCTATGAACCCTTAAAAGCATTGCAAACAGCCTACTGAAAAAAGTGGTTTTCTGGTATTAGCATAAAATATTGCAAATGTATTTGATATTACAAAATAAAAAGCCAGGACTGCAGGAAAAGCAGAGCTATTCTGTAGCTAAGCTCTCCAAAAGGAATTATTTGGGGGAAATGGCAGATGGCTTTAGAATGTATTCTGACACATTTGGGGGAGAAGTTTCAAGTAAAATTGTCTGATACGTCCCGACCCAAAATGAATCGGAGAATCCAGGCTGCGTGTGGAGACATAGCAGAAAGACCCTACCTTCTGAAATCTGCTTTGATGCTAGGTTCGTTTTCTCTTGAATTAGTTTCCAATTCCCTGTTTTTAGACGGTCTTCTCTGCATTCATTCCTTGCCTCCACTCCATGTTATGAATTAGGTGACTTTTTCTCGTGAACTCACCCGCCCGACACCTATGAATGAAACCAGCTTGACGGTTGCTCAGAGAACCGTTCCCATGCAGAAAGGTCCAATTAGAGAGGAGAAGGGGGGCTCATTAACATTTCTCCCTTCTCTGCACTGTTTGACTTGGTGCCATGAGCTTCTATTACTTTTACTGTTTAATTTTTAGGAACATATATAAAGGAAATTTCTGAGGAAGTTAAAATCAAGTTGATGATATGAAAAATGGCTTTGGACTGCCTTCTCGTTGTCTGTTTTCTCTGCCAAAACATGTCACGGCCTCCATCATTTATGAGGCTGGAAAAATCACAGAAGTTACTGTCTTCTGAGCACTTGGCTTGAGCAAATTTCAGGGAGTTTCAGAAAGTCCCCAGACGGGGAAATTACTCTTCAGGATGGGAACTCGTTTCACTATAAACCATGGAGGGTCCCGGGTGGTTTGTGGAGCTCAAGACTTCACGTTTCCAGGAGCTGGGAAGATGAGATTTGATTGATATTCTTGCCATTATTAATGCTGACATTTAAAATTATTAAGTTTCAGAGGCAAGGAAAAGATCTGGAAAAAGTTAAGCAGCGATTAATAGAGATCGCTAATCACGTTGACAAGGTAAGTTCTTTTTCGGGTAATTAAATCACTCAAAGCATGTAAATGTTTAGAAACGAGGTGGAGGGAATGGAACACACCTCGTCTGACTTGGCAGGGAGACCAGGTTCTGGTGCTGGGCTGGAACGTGGACTTCCCCTTTCCTCCGAGCACAGAATTCCCGGTCTGGAGCAGCTCCGGGAGAGGCCAACCCACGCACGCTGTCTGGACTGCGGTGGCCTTGGGCTACATCTCCCTCCAGGCTCTCTTCTGGCCAGAGTCCCAGTGTGAGGGCGTCTCAGGTTCCCCAGTTAGAGCCAGAACCCCAATAGGATGCATCTGACCCTCTGGAGAACTCCCAAGGGGACTTTTTCCCAGGTCTCCCTGGGTTGTGTCCACAGTCCCCCTGAGGGCAGGCTGTCATTTATAAGTGACACACACAGGGGTCCACGGTCCCGAGACCCAGAAATTGGCTTTTGGTTCAATCAGCTGTTGGAAAATTGCTCACCAAGAATGAGGAGATTGGGAGCTCACCCTTGGCAAAGGTGATCCAGACCTGGAGGAAACCCCAGAAGTCTGGTCTAATCCCGGGAATAGGAGCTCAGCGACACTCTTCATGCTACCTCTTCGCAAGGAGAGGGTGAAGCTGTCGGAGCACCTGCCCTCCCGCGGCATGCCTGCAGAACAGAGCTGTCAGGCTGTCTGGGCTGAAGGCTCTCATACTTGCCTGCACGTCGGAGTCACCTGGAAGCTTTCAAAGACATTGCTGCCCGGGTACCTTGGCAATCGGGGGGTTGTTAATAACTCGCACTGGTAATTAAAGAACCATATACCTCAGAAAAGACCTGACAGACTCCTTGGAGTTGGCCAGCCTGGCTGCTCTTGTGTTTCTGGCCAGGAGAGAGCTAAATTGCTGAGCACATATGTGGCCACCCCAAGCAGACCCTGAAGACCATGCTGGGGGTACCCAGGCTCCTCCAGATGCTCTGTGCATCCAGTTCTGCTAACTGATGATGAGCCCTGGGCTCTGGCAGGTGTTCAAAAGTTCAGCTTTGCCCCTCTCCAAGTGGGAGTGTCTCGACCCCAAAACAATGACGGTTCCAGTGGCAACTTCCTCATTTGCAGAAATCTTGGCTCTCCTTGGCCATTCTAAATTAATAGCTGCTTGGCTGGCTGGGTTGGCCTGAAGGGAAGAGGGAGAAGGACATCCCAGACTGAAAGACCAGGAAGTCATTGAGTACAAAGGTGACATTCTGAAGCATCCAGGAAATTCCCCCTGTAAGTAAAACACGGAAAGCAGGTCTGATGCTCATAGCTGGAGGCAAAGCCTGTGTCTAGGAACTAAGAGGCGCTCCCCAGGTCCTGATTCACCTGCAGGGCGGAGCAGTGGAGGTGTGTGATCACCCAAGCTTTGCCTCTTTAACCTTTCACCTCCCACCTGTCCCACCTCGTATCCATTAAGAAGTTAGCACCAGCGGCAGATTCGCTGGCGCAGACCCTGTGACCTACTTCTGAAAGGGCTCAGCTTCCGTGCATTGAATTTCTTCGGGTGTTTTCCTGCCTGTGGGAGTCTTCTATCCTCCTCTCCTGAGCTGGTTGCCTGAAGGGTGCAAGTTCTCATGTCGGAGCCCACCAGGTCTTCTCTTTGCTCCCGCTCAATTTTTTTTCAGATCCACTCCTTCCAGAAAGGCTTCCTTGAGCCCTCAGCACAGCACCCCGCGAACTTCCTGTTTGCACCCTTTCTTGGTAGTTCACTCTGTTGGAGTGAACTGTCACAGTGGTTCAGTGTCGCCAGCCTTGAGCCTCTTGCTGCCCTCTGAGCATTTGGGGGCCAAGGGCAAGGGCATCCTAATCCTTGTTCTCGGTGCCAGTGCCAAGCCTAGCATAAAATAAGAGCCAAGCAATTGCCTGTTGCCACCGTGTTCGTGGGTGAATCGATGCCACGGCCCTCGGGCTGCACCCCCCCATGTTCTGGGGTGCGTGGACAGACAGGCAGCTGCCAGGCTCCTGTCCAGCTTCTCTCTGGGCCTGGGGTCACAGCGGGTCCTCTTGGAAGGGAGTCTGAGCACTTGTACAGGAGGGGCTGTGCTACTTAGTGGTTTAAGACCTGGGTGCTGGGGCCGGGCTGCCTACATCCACACCCCAGCCACACCAGTCATGCCTCGAGCGGTTGCCCGATCCCTCCATAGCTCAGCGTCCCTGAGGACAAAATGGAGATATTGCTAGTTCTCGCCCCGTTGGGCTGGGGTGCAGACTAACAGAGCTGCAGCCTGGAAAGTCCCCGGCGCTGTGCCTCGGGCGTAGGAGAGGCTCACCGAGGGTCCGCTGTGGTTATTGTTATCAGCTGTCCGCAGCCTGGGAAGAAGGCCCCCAGCGGGCAGGACAGGGATCGGGTCTGATGACTCAGCCGGAGTAGGGGCCTGACCGGTGTTCAGTGGCACCAACTGGGAGCGGAAGGAGCGTGCGTTACATACCGCCGTGTGAGGTCTGTCGCAAGCATGGGACCCGGGCGAGCTAATAGACAGAAATCATGACCCATCGTTTCATGAAAAGCTCCTCGGTTGGCAAGCACCAAGGCCAGCTCTGAGGGACCGTGCTGTACAGACCTTAGTTACCCCTTCCCTAGAATCCTTGTCGGAGGCAAACTCAGTGTCCCCTTCACAGATGACGACGTGAAGCCCACATGGGGCGTCTGGCTCTGAGGTTATGGCTTGGTGAGCTGGTGTGGACATCGGCACTGGAGCGCCAACGTTTCTGCCTCCTGATCACTGTTACCTCTGTGCCTAACGCAGTGGGAAGTGTGGTCTCCCGGTCAAAGGGCAGCGGCCAGACATGGGCAGTCAGGGTTCCAGAAGAGTCCAGGAACCTCATTCTGCCCGGGAAGCCTGGCCTGGGAGCTTGCAAGTCCATACGACAGACTGAGCAATTCTTGATTAAAAACAAGCCGTTGGGCAGCATTTAGGTCAGAGAATTGTCTCATTACCTTATTTTTTTTTAAAGATTTCATTTATTTATTCATGAGGGACAGAGAGAGAGAGAGAGGCAGAGGGAGAAGCAGGCTCCCCACCTAGCAGGGAGCCCGATGCGGGACTCGATCCCGGGACGCTGGGATCATGACCCGAGCCGAAGGCAGACGCCCAACCGTCTGAGCCGCCCAGGCGCCCTGTCTCATTAACTTATTAATGTAATGCCTGTAATTGTTACCTGCTTGAAGCCCAATGGGACCGCTGCAGCCAGCTTACGTTCTGGGACGTAGTGTGCATTCCAGTCATACTCATGGGCTAACCTAATGCTCACCAGATACTGAGGGAGATCAGTGGGGAAAGCGATGAGCCTGCCTCCTGTGGGTCAGGATGGGGGTCAGATGCTGAGACTTGGGGAGTGTGTTGCCCACTAGCTCACCACATTGGAATGGGGCTTAACCATCCAATGAGGAGCCTCTGTGACTTCTATTACTTATTGGCCCAGATGCGTGTAGCATAAAAATGGGACCTGCTCACATCTGGAGCTCGACTTTGGCTGCCCCCATCAGCCACATCTTTCTCCTTGGCTACCTGGAGTATCAGCAAATGAGGACTTCCCCACTGCCCATTGTGTACCGCCTCACCCATCATGGGCACTGGAAGATTTTACAGCCAGCCAGGTGATCCCATGTCCTCACCCCCTGGGCCCTGAGCACAGAGCCACCTCCTTGTCATAATGCACATGGCGGGCAGCAAGGTAGTTGGAGGCAACGGGTAGTTCCTCCCTCTGCCCTGACCAATCATCTTGTCCCGGACTAGACCCTCCCTTCGCCATTAGAAGAGCTGCTCTTCCTACCTCTGCCCCAGGATGATCTGCTTGTGGAGAAAGGGTTGTAGGTTGAAGCCAGGAGTATATAAAGATAGGAGACAGAATGGCAGTGAGACGATGCTTTGGTGGTATACCTGAAGCGTGATTTCACAAGCCTATGAAAGAGGAACTTCCTTTAGAAGATCCTTCCCATGATGCCGCTGGTGAACTAACTTCTGGCTGTGAGGAAAATGCTTATTAAAGTTCCAGAAGAAGGGTTCTGCGTATGCCTTTATTATTCTGAAAGATATTGATTTGTGCATTTAATTAAAACCTTCTAGGTTGATTATAAGGGATGGAACGTGATAGCGTCAGCCAAGTCTGAGTCTTTGCTGAAAAATTAATACAAATTCATTTTCAGTAACTCGTAGGTAGAACATTTTGCTTTAAAGGAACAAATTATTGTCCTTGGCAGAGTGTCTGAAAGATCCTAATTCCCTCATTGTTTTTCCTGCAGTAGTTATTAACTGGCAGTCTTTGGGTATAATGTAACTACTTTAGAGATAGTACACATCTATATGCACATTTTAAATCACCAGTGAACCATGTGAAATGTGTGCTTCCCTACAAATAAGGGCAGACATCAAAAAGCCTATTAACTTTGGCGTCTAACCATTCAACAACAATGGAAACCCAGTTAACACATCACTTTGCATCAGACACTGCAAATATTTCTTAAATTCTAATGCCACAGGAACAAGGGAGCACAGAGATATTTTTCTCACCCATGTCAGTGAAGTCCAAAACATGCAAATATGTTCTAGTCTGCATTTTAAGCTCTCATGAATGTGATCCCCAGAGGGTGCCTGTCTTCGTCAGTTTTACAGACCACTGAACATTCGGATAGTGCTGGTGGGCGTGGAGGTGTGGAATGACATCGACAAATGCTCTATAAGTCAGGACCCGTTCACAAGCCTCCATGAATTTCTGGACTGGAGAAAGATGAAGCTTCTACCTCGCAAATCGCATGACAATGCCCAGCTTATCAGGTATGGGGGTTCATTGTCTCTCCTTTGCTTAAAGAAAGAGCGACCTCAGCAGCCCCCTCTCCTCTTAGCTTCACCTGGCAGTCCCCAAAGCTGCACACCTCTCTGCAGACCACACTGACTTGTACAGGGGTGTTTCCCAGCCCACATCAGTGGGGAACATGCCATCCTGACCAAACTGGGGTTCTATTGGGAAAGTCTCCCTTTGAACCCCCGAGGAAACCTATTCCTCTAAGAGATGTCTTATTTTCTTTTTCCATCACCTGAACGTTTTCCTCTATGCAAATTTTTCTAGTCTTTGTCTTGATACAAAATTGTCCTGAATAGGCTATTTTTTTTAAAAAAAAAAAAGCTCATTTTCTTTCACTATTAGTGAAAAATGTTTATGCAAGATGTGAAGGTGATGCATTAGGATGATTATTGCCAGATGCCTGGAGAAAGGAAATGTTCATCCCTCCTCCTGTTTCACTGGAACTCTGGTTTTCTAGATTAGAGGACCCTAGCAGTCTGCATTCTTTCAATCAGTGTGTATTGAGCACCAGTCAGGAAGCAAGTATGTTTTAGGTGCTTTGAATATAACGATGGCCAGCACTCTAAGCCTCCCCGCTCTCGGGAGTCCCCGGTCCTCCGGGAGAAGGCAACTATCGCACTGTGTCATGAAGATAATAAAATGAGGGAAAGCACAGCTCTAACATAATATACTGGGAAGATGCTCAAACACCTTTATATTTAAAACAAAAAAAATCTTATCATAATCTAAATTGGTAAGGAGTAGATTTTTCCCAAGTGACAAACTTTTTATTAAGACCCTTAAACAGTTTATGCTATTATTCTTATGTTCTCATGTAGCTCATTTCACTGAATTGAAAGATTCGGGGTCAGAGACTTTTTTCTTTGGAAAATTATATCTAGTTTCTTAAAAATTCATAGAAAGGTGGGGCACGCCTTGGTGGCTCAGTCATCTGCTGTTGGCTCAGGCCATGATCTCAGGGTCCTAGGATGGAGCCCCGCTCCCTGCTTAGCAGAGAGTCTGCTTCTCTGTCCCCCTCTGCCCCTCCCCCTGTTTGTGTATGTGCTCTCTCTATCAAATAAATAAATAAAATCTTTTTTAAAATTATAGAAAGTTAAAAACCATTCTAACCCCATCCTCACTTTAGAAAATGTCTACATTTGAACTAAGGCTGTTGGCATTCCCTGATAATTTACTTTAGCCATTTTCACAGGGTTGTTTGGTTTTTTTTCCTGCCTTGGATATTTGGGGTTGCCTCATATTTTATGCATTGATTAATCCTGAACTACTTAAAGTACACTTTAGATATTTTGAGTCAGAGTATTTTGTTTTATTTTTTTTTTCCCAAATGGAGTCTGTCCAACTTGAACATCTGGAAATAAATTAGCCTCTTATATAACTTTATATACGTATATAATTATATCTGTTAAAATGGTCTATATAGATGTAAATATAAAATCTGTAACCCCAACTACTGTACATATGAGTATGACAGGATGGGATGGATGGATGGATATATATATATATATACATATGTAGACAGATAAGGTTTTATATATACTTACTCCCTTTTGTTCAGTTGAATACTGTCAGAATAACTAACTTTTCGAACAGCATATATATAATCTAGATATGTACGTAGCTAAGATAACATGAGCAAATGATTTAAAGGAGATTCCCTTAAAGGAGATTCAACAAATACGAACAATGTTTAATTTTTAATGCGTGAGGGTCAAACTTACAGCACTTGCTTTAAACTGGGCTTCACGTCATTAGACTCATTGATCAGGTTAAGAATCCACATAGGGGAGAGCCTGCCCCTAAGCCACAACATCCCCTACTGGAACCTTCCTCCCGGGGTGCAGAGGCTTCCTCCTGGGTGGGTGCTTATCCTGCATTGGTTCCAGAGGGTCAGTCATTTTTCTGCCGGTTTCATTTTTGCCAGCTACGTTAGCAAGACACTTGAAAGAGTTTGGGTTTCTGGCCTAATTGTAAATCTACACAGGAAAACAAAATTCAGCTACAACAGAAAGTCTAGTAAACCACCACGTGCATTTCATTTAGTTACCAGTGATTCTCTGTGACTCTTCCCAGCACTTCCATCAGCAAATGTTTCAAAGGAGCAGCACCCTCCAATCCGTAGGAAATAGGCAGGATACAACTCATAAGTACAAAGGTCATGACTGGTCATGGTCTGAGTCTTACAAACAAAAATCTGAAAGGATTATGGGACCAAGATGCAAAAATACATTTGAGAGGAACTAAGGACACAAATCACCTGTAAACACACCCCACGTGGCTCTCTTCATTTTTGCATGGACCCTTGCTCTTCTTGTTGGAATGCAAGAATGGCCAAAAGAATTTCAAATGTTAGGAAATGCCCTCATTCTATATTAACTTAAGAAAGTTGTTTTTTTTTTTAATTTCCCAGTGGGGTTTATTTCCAAGGGACCACCATTGGCATGGCACCAATCATGAGCATGTGCACCGCAGAGCAGTCGGGAGGGATCGTCATGGTAAGTCAAGGGCACCAAGTTGCTGATAGCAATGTTCCACCCATTTCCCTGCATTTCTCCAGACAGCTCTACGTGTATCGGACTTTGTAAAATTAGGCCATTTTCTTTCATGCTTCTTATACGTAATTCTACCTTTCTCTAGTTCTATTTATGGTCTTCTATATCCCAAAATATATTAGGGACTGTTTATTAAAAAAACCACATCAAGTCGTACACAGGTAAGGTGAGTGTGTAAAAATAACTCAGTGGAAGCCTGTCTGCCCCTTTTATGGAGAAAAAGTTTCAACTGGGATTTTGATCAAAGCATTCCAATCCAGGATCCGCCCCCCCCCCCAGCATTGAGATGAACCAGGGCACTGGGGTTGCCCCTCATCAGTCAGTTTCTTAGATGGACTGTGGTCTCACCAAACATTACTACCAGAATGATTTTCTGATGGTTCTGTCTCCAGGCCCAACAGCCAAAAATCTTAGGTTTTTGACTACCACTGCAGATGCTTGATCTACCTCCTACCTGGTGTCCAATTTGTCTTCATAATAACGTTAATCTTGGAAGGCAGATACCTAGGTTTATTGCTTCATAAGGATAATTCTGTCATTTGGGGGCTCTACATGTTTATAAAGGGAACAAAAGTGGAAGAATATTTGGGACTTGTTTCTTATGAAGTTAAGAGGGAAATAGCTTTGATACACTGCCCGACAGGGGACTCCTGCTCCATTCCATCAGTTAATTAAAGAAAAGGTTTCACCTCATGCTGGCACCATCCCTGCTCTGAAAATGCAGTGTCCCCTTTGCACCAGCCCTCAGACAAGGAGTATTCTCACAGACTACTCTGACATCTCCATTAAACAAACAGAACGTTGCCCTTCTAGGAAACCATGATTTCCTCCACATTTTTTTTTCAAACAGAACATTTCTGAATACCCCATTGTATTAAGGAGCAAAAGGAGTAACGTTCTGCTGACTATTATTTTCCTTCCACATAGTGCCCGACCTAATCTTCTTAGTGAATATACACAACAAATGTTTTCCTCTTCTCTGATAAGTGTTGGTAATTCATATAAATATGCACTAAACATACAAGCTGAAGTAGCCATTTGGGAGGATAGCACCCACTCTGGATTTCTGGCTTGAACGAGCTACCCTCTGGTTTTCTTTGGACCTATGAGCCCTGTATGTGATCCCCACTATGAAAGTCATTGGAAAGATTGGTTTTTGTTGGTGCCAGGTTAATTTCAAGTCAGATCCCAACTGTGTTTTTACAGAGCAGCCTGTAAAATTTTAAGAGGGAATAATTTTCTGTTTCATGGTTCCATGGTCAGTTGCTACTGACTTTGCCACTTAAAATGGGTGTAAATATTTTTTAGAGCCGAAACTAAATTCCTTATAAGTATGGCAGGTTCTTCTGTTTGGAGAGTTTAAACATTTTTATAACCATTCTGATCATAGTAAGTGGCTTTCTTCAGCTTGTGTCCCTCATTCCGTTTCCATAGAAGCACTTGATCAAGATTCCTTCTTTAAAAGTATACAGAAAAGCCTATTTTTTTAAATGGATGAAGACAAATGTGGGAAAACAAGCAAATATGTGTACTGCAGTGGTAATCGAGTCAAGACCAAAGTCAATCAACAGGAAATATGTTTGACCAACTTGGCAGCAGTTAGACACATCCTTTGTTTACTCCACATATGAGGGAAGCATCAAGTAGGACAAAAGTCTACAGCCCCTTTAATTCTATAAAATTCATGAGATAAATGAGATCCATCTCTTGACCAGACCTAAAACTTCTAGATGAACTTTCTCCTGTTATGTCTCTAAAATTAAATTCACGGTTGTTCCATGTGACCATGCCCCCATTCAAGGACTCACAAGTCTAGGAGGAAGGAAATCGTGTAGCAGGGAAGCAGGAATCCAATCAAATTGAAAAGATGAGTTCCTCTACTGGTTCTCTGTTTTTTTAAGATGGAGCAAATCTTTGCTTTAGCAACTTAAAGCTATGCCCTTGTATCTAACTGGACTAGAACAGCCTTGGTTGGGGATTATGCCATAAATAAAGAAATAGGGTTTTTTTTTTTCTTATTACAAATGTAAACTGTTGATCAGGGTCTCTTGCAAGATAGTCTGTTCATAATCACTTATCCGTGAAGAATGTAAAACAACTTGGCAATTAAAAACAAACCCAAGATATTCAGTGATACAAAAGAATCAAATAAAGAATAATTTTTAAAGGATGAAGTCCTTGAATTTTGTGCCAAAATATGCTAAATTCAGCCCTCCACATTCTTAGGTTGGCTACATTCTCTTTGCCAACCTGTGTTATTCTTGAGAATTGATTTCCTGAAACAAATTTGTGAAGCTTCCTACAACAGGAAACTGTAAAATCTAAACAAAGTAATTTATTAGGAATTTCATCTATTCTAAGAATAACTTGGTCCCTTGATGTGCTGTTCCCTTCTGAGACTCAGGGCTAGGGAGAGAGGCAGCTACAGCTATAACGAGCAACAGCCTATATAATCTTTCATGCTCATGCCTTTAGAAGAGGCCCCACAAAGATTATCTGAATCAGGAATGATGCTTTCTCCAAAACCCAGTATCACTGTTTCCTGGAAGTTTCTTGGAAAACCTCTTATCTCTTTCCTGGTTAGCGCAAAGCAGTATTTGAATAAAGTACCTTCATTGCTCTGTGGTGGGCAGGCCTTTTCAGAAACGCCACCAATGGTCACAACTCTATGGTCAACTAATGTTTGACAAAGCAGGAAAGAATATCCAGTGGAAAAAAAGACAGTCTCTTCAACAAATGGTGTTGGGAAAACTGGACAGCAATATGCAGAAGAATGAAACTGGACCCTTTCTTACACCGTACACAGAAATTAATTCAAAATGGATGAAAAACCTAAATGTGAGATAGGAAACCATCAAAATACTAGAGAACACAGACAGCAACCGCTGTGACCTTGGCCATAGCAATGTCTTACTTGACATATCTCCAGGGGCAAGGGAAACAAAAGCAAAAATGAACTATTGGGACTTCATCAAGATGAAAAGCTTTGGCACAATGAAGGAAACTGTCAACAAACTAAAAGGCAACCTAGATATTTGCAAATGACATATCGGATAAAGGGCTAGTATCCAAAATCTGTTAAGAACTTATCAAACTCAACACCCCAAAAATAAATAATCCAGTTAAGAAATGGGCAGAAGACATGAACAGACATTTCTCCAAAGAAGACATACAGATGGCCAACAGACACATGAAAAAAAATGCTCAGCATCACTCATCATCAGGAAAATACAAATCAAAACCACAATGAGATACCACCTCACACTGGTCAGAATGGCTAAAATGAACAACACAGGAAACAACAGATGTTGGTAAGGATGCGGAGAAAGGGGAACCCTCTTATACTGTTGGTGGGAATGCAAACTGGTGCAGCCACTCTGGGAAACAGTATGGAGGTTCCTCAAGAAGTTGAAAGTAGAGCTACCCTACAACCTAGCAATTCACTACTAGGTATTTATCCAAAGGATACAAAAATAGTGATTCGAAGGGGCACGTGCACCCCAATGTTTATAGCAGCACTATCAACAATAGCCAAATTATGGAAAGAGCCCAAATGTCCATCAACTGATGAACAGAAAAAGGAGTGATAGGAATACTACTCAGCCATCAAAAAGAATGAAATCTTGCCATTTGCAATAACATGGATGGAACTAGAGGGTATTATGCTAAGTGAAATAAGTCAGTCAGAGAAAGACAAATACCATATGATTTCACTTATATGTGGAACTTAGGAAACAAAACAGATGAACAAAGGAGAATAGAAAGAAAAATAAAATAAGGTCAAAATAGAGACTCTTAACTATAGAGAACAAACTGAGGATTGCTGGAGGCGAGGTGGGTGGGGAGAAGGGCTAAATGGGTGATGGGCATTAAGGAGGGCACTTGATGTAATGAGCACTGGGTGTTATATGTAAGTGATGAATCACTAAATTCTACTCCTGAAACAAACCCAAAAAATGGGCATAATTTCTGCAAATCCCATTTAATAATTAATTTTAGTTTGTTAAAATTAAGTAACAATACTTTAATAATTAGTATTTAATAATTTAGTAATACTATTTTAAGTAACAATAATCTCTAATACCTATTCATCTAAACCATCCATGCACTTCATTAAATTAGGGGTGGCCACACAATGCTCGCTGAATGGAGAGACCATCTTCCAAAACCCATCAAAGAGTTGAGCAAACCCCCAGCACCAACAGTCAGAGAATCAGGGTGCTTCTACCCATCTCCGAGATCTACTTGACAAAACAAGGAGCCAGCAAGAGTGAGCCATACCTGGATACAATCCTAATTCACTGAGTCTTCAAACAGATTACTCAATGTGGCGAGCTTCTTTTGTGAATTATTGTGAATTTTCCAAGTATCCTTCTAAGTAGACAGGAAGGGCATGTTCAGTACCCCCGCTCAGGTCTTATTTAGAATGTCACAAAGTATGCTTTCCCCTCCCAACTTTTCATCAGCCTCATCTCCTTCGAGGATAAAATGGTACTTTTTTTCGAGCCACCCAGAAGCCCCAAGAAAGATGTTTTGTAAGTGACTGCAGGTAAGAGAATAGAGATGATTGCCTTGAGCATTTCATGTAAAGACATAAAGAGTCCTACCTGTGTTCAGGTAGGAATGCATTCCTCTGCAGAAGGGACCCTGAGCTGGTTTCATAAAATAGGTCACATCTCTTATTTACGTTTGAACTAAATAATGGGACTCTGTGTTTGTTCCTTATAGGGGTTGGATTCGGTCAGATGTTAAAAGACCAGTGGTGGGGGAGAGAGGTGGACGGGGGGGAGGAAAAGGCCAAGGAGAGGTGAACTATACATTGCGCTCTTATGTTTGCTTTGAGGACCATTCCGACAGCCCCCTGGGCGCCGCCGTGACCCTGGCCCATGAGCTGGGCCACAACTTCGGGATGAACCACGACACACTGGAGCGAGGCTGTGGCTGCAGTGTGGCCGCTGACAAAGGAGGCTGCATCATGAACCCCTCCACCGGGCAAGTACCCACGGTCCAGCCAATTTCAGAGTTGCTACAGGGTGAATTGCATGTTGGGAAACTGCTAAGCAAAAATCTCCCTGGTTTTCTGGCCAGACCACCCATGGAAACTTCCAGAAGGAAATCCCTTTCTAAGCAGACAGCCTACAGCTCCACTGCCCCCGCGAGCCAAGGGCCGAGAAAACTCACTGGGCAAAGGGGGCAGGGTTAGATGGGTCACATGGCCTTCAGAGGGTGTGGGCTGGGGAGTGCTTCTTCCCTCGGGCTTGGCCCCAAGGCCATGGCCGGCAGTATCTGAAGTGCATCAGTAGGGGGAGGGGGGACCTGCGGCATTCCCGCCTCTGAGGCATCACCTTACAGGATCCGAGAGGTTTAAATGAAGTGACTTCTCTGTGTCAGTAAATCACGCTGTTCCTCCCTTTGGAATGCCTTTCTGAAACTGGAGACTTGGTTCGCCCAGGGGAAAAGGAAGACAGTTTCATTAAGGGAGCATTCAAATGAGGTGGAAAGAGATGCCACGTGGAGTGATTGAGTACAGATTCTGATGACATCCTGATGCCTTCACGGGCCCGGCCCAAACCAGGGCGCTGTGCTAATGTGGGGAGATTTTCATTAGGAAAGGAGAACGCGCACTTGTTACGATCTTCTTTTTTTATACCTGAGTGAGACCTTCCCAACACTTCTCTTCAAGGCACTTCCCAGGTGAGGCCTGCTCTCTGGGTTTGCTGGAAGGAAATGCTGGAGCAGGAAGCAAGTACTGGCTGGCAGCCCAAAGACTGGCCTCTGGGAAGACCTGCTGGCAAGGGGCCAGTCCTGGTGTGAGGACGGGACACCTGCTAGAGGTGTAAAGGGATGGATTGTTACAGAATGTGGTTATGTTTCTGCAAGCAATAGCTCTGGGGGGCTCCTCTCAAATGGCTCCTTGGGCATCACATTGCCCCTGAAACAAAGACTGGGCAGAAGGGCACGGCTCACACCCTGGACCTTGTCATGCCTAAGCCTGTTCTTGAGGCACCTCACTGTTATCTTATTAGCAAGTGACTGCTTGAATTCATCGCCACCATTAGCACAGAGTCTTCGGAGAGCATCTTTTTTTGCTCCTGGTTCTGTCTTAAGCAAGATTCAAGGGAGTTACCAAGACCCAGTCGAGGGATTTGCTCTGAGACTGAGATAACTGAAGCCAGGAACCGGAGCCTGAAGTGAGAGTATCTTAGGCCAACACCAACAGGAAGTGAAATATTATAAAACCCTAGATACTGACCAGGGAGCTCCCCAAAGGGAGGCTACTCTGACAAAGTGGGTGCTCCTTGTCATTTAAACTGTTCAGGCAGAGGCAAGATAATTATTTAGGGGGCATTTGGGGCAAAGAATTCCTTCTTAGGGTGTGAGGTTGGGCCAGGGGCCTGTAGGTGTCTTCTTTTTCCAATATCCTACCAGGCCAGACAGAGCCCCGCAACACTGGCCAGCATGCCATGCAAATCTCAATGAGGTTGGTAGGAAGTTAACATACAGCTGAGTGGTGCTCATGCTTTCTCATTCTTGATGAACTCAAAGTGGCCACAGAAAATTCACTGTTTGCTAAATTTCCCTGCTTATCAAATAGACACAAACACATCAGCTTACATGCCTCCGGAAGTGGTTCCCAATGACTACTATCATGAATGTTTTGGAACTCTTGATAAAATTGGCAAATGAAAGAGAAGAAAATCTAGATTGGGAACACTAGAGTAGGATTGAAAAGCCCTGGGAGCCCCTATTCTGATACCAATTGTTTTGGGTAATACAGGCAAAGGAGTAACCCCTCTGGTCTTAACCAATCTTCATCAAGAAAATGAGTGAGTTTGTCTTTTTCCTTCCTTCCTTCCATCCATCTATCCATCCCTTGATTCATATTCATTCTGTCTATCCATCCATCTATCCATCCATTTATTCACTGTTCATTCCATCCATCATCCATCCATCCATCCATCCATCCATCCATCTTTTCATCAGATCATCTATACATCCACCTTCCACTTACTTGTTCACATAGTCAACACATTTTTTTACCCCCTGTGCTTATTGTCATGGGGAATGCACAGATGAGGAAGACCCTACAGCTCTAAGAATTATGTGATTCTGGAGGCACAGTAGCAAGACCTACCTTCTGACACTTCCCATAATTTTGTATAAAGGCCTTCAAATTGGAAAGTCGTCATGGCAGTGTTTAAGGATATGAGCCAAATTACCCTGGAGATATTTGAAAATCATAGGTAGAAGCGGTATTGTTAAGAGCTCAGCAAATCATTTCAAAGGCGTTTTTTTTTCCTTACCAGGAGTTTGCTAATAGCCTTTACTTGATTTATACCTTATTAGCAATTTCTAAGTTTTCTCTTTTGCTGAGCTTGTGCTTTTGCATAAATCTTTTCTATTTGGTTCTCATTTATGATCCCACATTCCTGAACAGAGAGTGGTGTTTTTAATTTTCTCAGATGGAAAGAAACTTCCCAAGCAAGTGGGTGAATTAATCACAAAAGCCCACAGTGAGGGGGAGGTCAGGCCGCCCAGGCAACCCTCAGCCATCCATCACCCATTGTAGAACTTCTAGGCTGCTTTTAATCTGCAGTATTATCCCAACGTGGTCTCTCTCTTACCTCATAGGGTCCCCTCGAGAGCGGCAGAGTGGATTAAATGAGATCACATGTCTTTGTAAATTGTAAATCACTCCACACATACATGGCAGCACGATTACTGCTATTATTTAGCTCACAGGGACTAAATTGTTGAGGGCGTCTTCCAGAATCCCTGCTCGTAGTTGCTGGAAAGCACCTCCAGCACCTCAAAACAGGCACTGAGCCACGCACCCACAGTCTGTGTGAAGGGCTCGTTGTAGGCTGGCCCTTGGCCAAACACCAACTTTCCCCCTGACTTCCTCTGCACTACTGATTTCAGGCACAAGCAGCAAACGTTCAAAATGTTATTCAAGTCTTAGCCTCGGAGGGGGCTCAAAAAGAGGTGAATCGTGATTGCTTTCATGATCTTTAGGTCTCCCCGAATCAGAAAGGACCAAGCATTGCTGATGGTTGGAAGGGGGAAAGCGCAGCCCTTAATATGCCCTGGGTATTCTTGATCAAGACATTCCAGAATTCTAACTCTGAAATATTCACCACCTGCCTGTCGTTGACAAATGGGACTTGAAGCCCTGGGAGAACCGCACTAGCGTGCACTCCTGCTTAAATGCGGTGTCGTGACGTCCGCGGGAGCTTGCAGGGGTGGTCGGGGGGGGTTCCTTACAGGTTGGACTGTTAATGACCGCAAGGCCTGGAGTGTGTGCGAGCATGTGTTTTCTGTCTTCGCTTAGTTCACATGAAGACCCGCCTTGGAAATCACTCTTTGGCAAAAGCAGTATCTGGGAATTCGTGTGGGAGTTGACTCAGTGGAGTCCACCCGTAAATGAGCTGCTTGGAGCATTTGGGCTGAAAGGGTTGAGGACGAAGCATGCAGCATTTACAGGAGTAAGAAAAATGTGAATAGTTTGAACACATTTGGAAAAGGATATTTAGCATAATTGTAAATGTCACTTCCCAGAGTGGACCCCCCAAAAAAGCAGTATTGGCATTCACAAAGTACTCTCAGGGCTTCCTTTATTTTTTGCAGGAAGTTTTCTGTTAGCAAGAGTTGGAGGAAGGGAGCCTGTTGTGGGAGGAACGCAGCTGAGTCTGGGACGCACGCTAACTCGGCTGCTGCGAGGTCTCACGTGCCCTCGTACATGTCGGGGTGACAGCCAGGAACAGGACACTCTTCTTGCCTCGTGGAACTTGCACACTCTGGGGGAAGACAGACTTCAAAAACAATACATTGAAAATCGCAGGTTAAAGAGCAGTGCTTTGAAGGACACAAAGGAAGAGGTTGGAAAGGAAACATATGGGCCAGGGGCCCCACTTTAATTAGGGGCTTGGGGAGGAGCCCTCTTGGAGGTGACCTTTAAGTAAAGACCAAAGTGCTGACCGGAGGCCAGGGGCTTGTCGGGGGCTGGGTCACGATGGGGGTGGGGCCTGGAGGGCACAGGTTGCTGGTGCTGCTGGAGACAAAGGGGGTTGGGAGGAGCCAAGGCCAGCAAAGCCCAGTCCACCAGGTAGGAACACGGTTTTGTCCCGAGGGCAGTGAGAAGTCCTTGGAGGGTTTTAGGCAGGACAGTAATCTGATCTGACTTAACCTTTCAGGCTTTCTTCCCTTCTAAGATCACCAGCATCCAAGCTATGATACCTTGCCAAATTAAGGGGTTTGTGTCTATTTTAAAAAGGCAGGGTGTGCTTCTTGTAAAAAAAAAAAAAAAAGAAGAAGAAGTCAAAGTGATGGGCTACAAATTTTAGTTTTATTTTCATGTAATTAATAGGCATTTGGAATTCAAGGAGAAGGGTCCTTCTTCAGCACACCAGGTGGTGCATCATACACACCTCACACCCTCGCCTCTCCAGGCTTGCATACTTGATGTACAAAGTGCTATTCTGTTTAGGATTTCACTTTGCTGTTCCTACAGTAAACATCCTTTAAGGACTCGACTTCAAAGAGCCATGGAAGAGCCTTTTCGCACTCCCTCTGTGTGTGTGTGTGTGTGTGTGTATCTGAAAGGAATTACTGCATAGTTTTCATGCTGTTGCTAAGATTAGGGGTTTGGAGCTATTTGGGTTTTGTTTTGTCCAGGCTGGCAAACAGCTCCTGAGCAAAGAATGTTCCGTGGCTGCCAACGGAGAGCGGAGAGCAGTGTGTTGTGCGCCCAGGATAACGCAGGCTAAGGAAATCACGGGAGGGTGACCCCTTGCTCTCCAGTGGTGTAAAGAATTTACATTAAGCTGAGGTTGGACATTCAGGAATAACATCTACAACTGGATCAAATAACCATGTTTAAGCAGAAAGCATTGCCATGCGACATCCTCAGAAGTTTGTATAATTGGCTCATTCAGTGCCATTTAATTCAATTCAGGAAACATTCATTGCATACCTACTTGCTACACAGCTGT